TTATTTAAACTGCATAAACTATAATTTTAGTAAATCAAGCAAAGAGCTAATCAAGTTTTGATTTGCTAATTACTTCTCAATTTGATTAGAGCTGGCAGCTAATCATCTCTGGAAATTTAAAGTCAATCTTTCACTCACATTTGCAAATCAAGACTTCAATGTAAAACAAAATTGGGAATATATCTTAAAAGTTCTTTGTGTTGTAACAAATAATTAATTTCTATTTGTTGCTACAATTTTAACAAAGAAAAATTTTCTGGGATGCTTCAACAAGTTGAATAATTCATGTGGTGTACCAGCCTATGCTGGAGGGGAAAAAAAACCAAAAAACAGGCCAGTTTTTACAATTTTGTGAAACAGCCCACGTTGAGCCAGGAAAGTGTGCATGCTACATTAAACAAGCACAATATAATTCAAAATCACAATTTCATTTTTATGGTCAACAGTAGTTTGCTGAAGAAATATCTGCCAAGAAATTGAACCATGAACAATCAATATTATAATTGTTTTTCCAATTAAAACCAGTCTTTACAACATATTTTAGAATTATTAATATACCTAAGACAATATCTCCTTGAAAAATATGCCAAGGTAGGAAAAAGAATGTCACAGTCATTTAAATTCAACAAGGGAAAACATTATGATGAAACATGGTAAAAAAGAAAGTGAGGCAGATGAGTTTGTTCTCATTTCAGGGAAAAATGTCTTTCACAGTCATTTCCCAAATACTATATTTAAAATATACCCTGTAACAAAATTTCTTCTATCTTTGTCATTTTCTGCTCCTATCATAATTATGCAACTTGAAACTTTCTTGAATATACTGCAGTGAATAATGAATCATTTTTTATATGAGGTATTTCATTATTACTACCATCTCATTAATATCATTTCCAAGCAATATCTTCAGAGGTAAAGTTAAATGAAAGTTTGGGCAATTATCTTATAAAGTTAGGTTATCTGAGCAAACAATAGACAAGTTTTTTTCCTAAAAATTTTGCCAGCATAATTGATTAAATTTTTTATTTCTTTTTTCATCTAATTGCAATGAAAAGTGATGAGCTTTTAAAATCTTCCTGATGAGCTTTTTAAATTTTCCACTCTATTCTTTCTCTTTGCTATGAATTAAATGTTTGATTTACTTCCATTTTCAATTTTTCTATTGTATCATTTCTTCTATGTAATACTTTAATACTTTACTTGCTAATTTTAGTAGTAAACCTGTAATTCTTAGGTATATATTTTAAATAATATACGTATATTGTCAAATTTTGGCCTTATTCCAGAATCTTTGAATCTATCCCCTTAGGAATATCCGCATTTAACCAGAACTTAGGAAGTTAATATTAGAAAGTTCTGTCTATCCACATCTGAGGAAACGCTCTTCACTGAACTCTGCAAGGTAAACCCTTCCATTGGACTTGGGCAAATGCATAAGAGAGATTTCTTTCTAATATTTTTTCTGTGCACCCACTTCCATCTCAGCCCTGTAAAGTGAATTTCCAAGATCTATTTTGAAGTCAAAGAAATGGAATGTCCTAGAACTATGAGGTGAGTGCACACACCTTAGATATCTACGTTACAGCCATTATTTTGGATATCTCTGATCTTCTTCAAGATATTAAATATAATTTTGCTAGATAATAACCCCAGGCTCCCTTCTCCCTCTCCAAACAATAGAATTTTTTTTAAGAGAGTGGGTGGATAACCTATCAAGACTCAGAAAGTTGGCTTCTTCAATTGCTTTTAGTTTAGTTAGAAATGTCCAGCTCTCATTATTTCCTTTTTCACCTCACAACTATGCTATTAGGCGATTATTCTGGAAGCCAACATATTATGACTTTTTCTCCCTGTAGTTGTATGGATTTTGTGTGATTCCAGAAATGAAGTTTTGGGCAGAAGAGAGAGGTGTTTATTTGTTTTGTTTTAATAATGGGTAATTGGAAGAACAACATTATCTATTACTATTTATTTTTTAAGTGAAAAGGTGATGAAACAATAGCTTTAAGAGTTAGAAACTATAATGCACTAATATAATACATTAAAAGTGACACATACTCATGACATTTAATGTCATGGTGGAAGTTCTGATTTAAAGTGTAATATGTTTTAAGTTATAAAGCTAGACTTGAGTAGCTTGGAGTAGGTATTAGGCTCTGATCTTAGACTGATGATGGTTACCTCCTTTATTTAATACTTCAAATAATATTCACCTGTATATGGAATGTAAGCATAATAGAGTATCAATTAGGTCAAGACTGAGGTGAATCAGACCCACCTTTTGAAGCCAAATAGAAATGCCCCTCAAAGATATCCTTAAATTCCAGAGTATATGTTCCACCTAGTGCCAAAACCTTGACTTAGACTTTGATCACGTTCTCACTGAACTTCTGCAACAAATCTAAAATGGCCTCTTTTTAATAGTTCTTTTTCACTTATACATCCTCTCAAGTGCTATGGATTGTTCTCTCACCTCTGCCAACAAATTGCCACCTTTAGGAAGTAATCATTTTCCATCACCTTGAATCCTGTCACAGTCTGGCCCCTGTCTTGCCTTCTAGTCTGCCTTCCCAAGGTTCCTGACACACCAGTCCTCCTGCTGTTCTCTAAAGAATGCTGTGTGCTTCTTTAGCTTATAGCCTCTATTCTGCTAAATGCCATACTGACCCTTCCTCCCAGTGAATGCCAGATTAGAATTGAGAATAGACTGAATGTTATTTTCTCAACATGATCATTACAAACTCTCTCATAATACACTCTCCCAATTCTCAAACCTTCCCTTTATCATTTTAAATTTAATCATAGAAGGCTATGTGTTTGGGATCAGAGATTTAAGCAAGGATAGTGCTTTGCTCATTTATTCAACAATGAAAACCTGTGACTGTTATGGCATTTTATTTAGTAGTGGAAATACAAAAATAAGATTTATAATCTTCACAATGAAAAAGAAAAAAATAAACAGATGACTACAATACTACAATATTTGGTGGAAAGTACTATGGTAGTGAGATGCACAGGGTCCACAAAAAGCAAAGGCAGAAGACTCCCAAATGTCACAAACTTTTGATGCTTCATGGACATTTGCCTGGTGTCTTCTGTGATACAATATTAGACTTTAAAGTGATATAATTATAAAAACTGGTTTATAGCATCTTTCATATGTCATAGGTTTTAAAAAACAAAGCTATTAAGGAACAAGGTCCTCTCTGAGCAGCTAATATATTGCTTGGCACTTGATAAACATGATTTGAATGAGTGAATGAATGAATGTATGAATTGACAAATGCTAATGTGGACAGCACTTTTCTATTTTATGAAATTATTTTGCCTCCTTAAGATTTTAGATCATAAAAATCACACGGAGGTCAACCAGAAACATTCTGTCTTTGATATTTACCACTCTTTCCATGTCACTTTTCATTTCCCATTTTGGGTTACTATTGTTCTTGTACACTTGATATTAGTGATTCAAAGTTGTTATACCCTCTGTCCTGAAACCTTCTCTCTCTCTCTCTCTCTCTCTCTCTCTCTCTCTCTCTCTCTCAAATTTTATTTTGAGACAGAGGATCACTGAATCACCAAGATTGGCCTTGAGCTTGTGATCCTCCTGCCTCAAGGTACCCTCTCCCACCAGTAGCTGGATAACAGGTATGTGCCACCATGCCTGGAACCTCCTTCTCTCTTGATGACACCACTTGTTTCCATATTAGTATCTACTCTCAAATTATATCAGGGGGGGGGAAAAAAAACCTTGTTCATTACAAATTAACATTAAAGTGATATGATAATATATGCCTTTTAATTATAAGCCAAATGAGGAGGCACATTATAGATTGACAGTTTTGGGGAAACAAAAAGAATAACCATGAAAAAGAGCAAGACAAATCCTGGATGTGGAACATACGAGAAGTTAGCTGAACTTGATACCTGGAAAAGTCAATGGCACGTGGTAGAGAAAATTGTTTCACTAGCTTTAAGCCAACACATTTCCCTACATCTTCTAAAATTTTGTCCTGAATTTCAAACAAGGTGTCAAATATCAGAGCAAGTACATTACTGTAGTGTGTGATGCAATCTTGGCTAATAGTGATGTGTATTGCTGACAGGAGACTACCTTACTATCTCTCTACTTTTGATGCTTCATGGACATTTGCCTGGTGTCTTCTGTGATACAATATTAGACTTTAAAGTGATATAATTATAAAAGCTGGTTTGTAGCATCTTTCATACATCATAGGTTTTAAAAAACAAACTATAAATTTGTTTTAAAATATAACAGACAGTATATATTTTGGGTTCTTATTTACCTATAACCAGGAGACTAGTCTGCACCTTCACCTACAGAATCATAAATATTGTTTCAATTTGTGCTCTTCTTATTTTACATTATTAAAAAATATTTTCTAAATTTATAAGAAAATATTTGAAACTACTAAAGTAAAAAAAGAAAAAAAACTAGTAACTGTCTTTTGTGTAAATTACATATGTATGCTTGTGATTTACTGATAATATATTTTAAGATTAAATAAATACTGACCCCTATAAAGAAAGAAAGACTCAGGGAGGAAAAATTATGCATGAATAAGTAAAGCATTTAAGCAAAATTTAAGAAGTATCAAGTAGCATTTCCATAATTACTAAAAAGTAATCTCAGAAAAAGAGAAGGTAGAAAATAGAGTAAAAACACTGAAACACACTCTCTGTGCCAAGAAAAACATAAGTATATTTGATATGCAGTAGATTTCAAACATTGACATTCTGCAGATTTCTTAAGATACACTGTTATGGTTTGAATATTAGGTGTCCTCCAAAAGTTCATTTGTGTGACAATACAAGAAGGTTCAGAGGTGAAATTATTAGTTTATGAGAGCTGTGACCTAATCAGAGAATTAATGCACAGACAGGCAGGTAGGGTGTGGTTGGAGGAAGTAGGTCTCTGGGGGCATTCCTTCAGGGTTTATATTTTGTCCTTGGTGAGCATAACTCCCTTTGCTTCTTACCTGCCATGTTCTGCGCTCCTCTCCTTTGCCACAATCCTTCACCATGATGTTCTGCCTCACCTCCAACCCAGAGCTTTGGAGTCTGCTGACTATGAACTAAGCCTCTTTTAGTGTGAATCTAAATCATCTTTTCCTCCTACAAATTTTTCTGGTTGAATCTTTTGATCACAGCGATCTAAACCTGACTGAAATATAAAACTCATAATTAGTTCTGCTGAAACATACTAAAAAAAACTATTTAGAGAGAAAATACTTTTTGATCTAATCATCATAATCTTGGTTAAATAACAAACATTTAATATTCAAAAATATATTTTACACATATGTATAACTTTAGTTGTGTCTATTTTTGTGGAGCTCATTATTTGGTAGAAAAATTTAGGAAATACAGAAATGAAGTATTATAAATTTGGAAAATGTCCAGAAAGAGAGCTAACTTCTTTATTCATGATATAATACTCTTTCCGTGTACTTTCAAATTCATTCATTTTATATAGTTGTTTAAATTATAGCTTTCCTTTCAAATTGAAATCTTCTGAAGAATATTCTGTCTTGTTTAATTTGAGTGTTCAGGAGACATCTGTAATATCTACATACTCAATTAAGAGATAATGATGGTTGTAAATCAACATTTACTGAATAATCCTAATGTGTTAAGAGGGCTTGTTGCATCAAAAGATCAAGTTTTTGTCCTAGGAAATATCCTCTTTATAAATGTTACTTATGAGATTATTTACTGCCTTGTGTGATATAGGATCAACAGAATATTGAATGGAAAAGCTGTGGGATGCTTGGGTACCTTTGATGACACTTGATTCTAGTGGTCTAGGAGCCTTGTTTTGGCCTTATTGTCACCTAAAGGCTTGTAACAAATTTTTCCTCTTCCATATATTATCTGACCTCAAGGAAACCAGATCATGGGTTGTGGACGATACCCTGTTGAGCTCTGTTATTACATTCACTTATTAGATGCCCTTGGCTAAGTTATTGTCATTTTTGGAAATTCTGTTTTCTGTTCTAGAAAGAAATAAACTTAACAATACCTTTTCCCTAAGTCCCTATGAAAAGTAAATGAAAAAAAGAATTATTTCAAATTTGGATCATATTAAATGTAAAAAAAGATTATTATAATTAAATGACATTATAATTTTGACTTGAAAACCTAGTTTATATGATGTGATTTAATATCAATATGCAGATTTATCTTTACATTTCTTTATTTTAGAAAATGTATAACCTTTGTACACACATTTTTCAATGAAAATAGAAAATACATGATTTAATCATTGGCAGATAATTTATCACTGAAATAATACCAAAAAGAAGTCAGCATAATGTTAATGTTTAGCTTTCAGGATAATTGTTGGTTATTCTTCCTATTAAGCCAATTTTATAATGACATATAATAGACATTCCACAATTACCTATTGAATGAATTAATAAATAGATATATTTTCACTAACACATTCTTGTATATTCAAATCAAAGTAATTGTCATTACAAACACCTAGAATAGTGTATATATTATTTATAGAATTTTTGTATTTCAATTTTTGTTATGTTTAATTTCTGTGTGATATAGCAAATTACTTCATTATTATACTAACATAACAAGATAATTCAATGCTAGACTAATTTAGAATAAACTTTAATTCAAAGATTTCTTCCCCTTAGTTGTAAGAGTTACAACATACAAAATATTGAAGAAAAACTGAACAATATACTTTAAAATTTTTAGAATATGCAACAATAGTAGAAATTCTACTGAAGAAACCATCTTGAAAATTACTTTTACGAGGCAACTCTAACTAGTTTTCAGAACAGTTATGGTTAAATCTGTAACAACTTTTACCTATTCATAAATAATTTTATTGTGTGGAAAACTAGAGGCAGCATGATAGAGTAGAATATGTCAAAAACTGAAAGAAGATCTTAGGTTCTATTCCTGTAAGTGACTTTTATTCCTCTATTCTAAGAAAATTTTTGTGCATCAGTCATGACATGATCTTTACCATTTTAATGAGATTGTGTTAAAAATATAGAAGAAATAGAGCAGTGAGGTTTTAGAACAAGCTCCAAAGGAAGAAATCTTAAGAAGTATATAATGAAATTCTTCATTTTGTCAACTTGTTACTTATTTAAGCTTTTAAAATATATTGGTGCTATGCTTAGATTTCTCTTGAACTAAGTAATTTAATTTTTACAACACTTTTATGACATAAGAAATGTTTGGTCTTTATTTTATAGGTCAAGAAACACTGAGCCATAGTTGTGTGAATAAATTGTTAAATATATGTACAAATAGATATCATTCTGTTTTTCAAATAATTTTATTCTTATTTTTAAAGTTACTGGGTAGTTTTTGTCAAGAAATCTCATTGTCATATCAGAAAGTTAGCTATTTAGAATTAACAAAATTACATCCAAGATGATTGATTTGATATAAATCATGGAGAATATGTCAAGTGTATGTCTGGGATAATATACAGACACAAATTATAAAATTTCAATATTTATAATGAAATAAATTATTTACACATTCATCATGTTGTAATTAATTCCAGGATATTATGGTTTTCAAAAATTTCCAAAGAAAGAAAGCAAATACTAATTCTGTATGGGTTTGACAGTAATTTTACAAACTTTTTCACATACAGTGTTATACAGGAAGAGATACCATGTCAAATTCACTTAAAGTATAGTCAGCAAGTAGATGCAATTATATGAACTTTTTAAAAAGGACATAGAAGAGTAAAATAGTTGAAAATTATTCAAAATAAAAATAAATCCCAGGCAATATCTTAAATTCAGTACATAGTTTAGTCCACAAATCTCATAAAAAGACATCTATATAAAATAAGAAAACTTTAGAATTCACATCTTGCAATTCTTCTAATATATTTAAGAAAATGGTCTCTTTATAAGTAACTTGGTCTGTGATGAATGTAGTAGCATATCTTTAATACTTTATTGACAATACCTGGGGTTATGCTTAGTCACTTCATTTTATCCTCTTTTTCTTTCCTACATTCAAGACATGTCATCTAGATTCTTGTCTGTATGCCCAAAGTCTGAAGCAAGGGAGTTTTGTCTCTTTACAAAGAACCCTAGAATTTGATCTAACAGATTTCTCCTTTTTATTTATATTTTATTTCAGGAGTCTGATCATACAATTCCATAGGTGTTTTGTTTAGGGTTCCTGCTTAATTAAAATTTTACCTTATCCTTTATTGTCCAACATCAGGCAGAACTGATAGCATTGTGGCAACAAATGTTAAGTGCTTTGTCATTTACTCACTTGTGGAGGTCATGGTTTTACTGTTATATTGCACAAAATTGAATTGGAATGTTATTGGAATGTTATTATTATCACTTTTGGAGCTCATTAACAGTTCCCCCCCTTCATGTTCTCTTTGTCCTTTTGCATGGAAAACCATTTCGTGCATACAGCGATTGACCACGTAAAAGTGGAGACAATACTCTGAGAACAGGATTGCATCTATTAGTGGTTCTTAATCTTGAAGGTGCATTACAATCACCTTTTGAATTTAAGAAAATTCTGATGTCCCTTTTCTACCCTTAAAATTTTGATTTTAATTGGTGTATCGTGATGCATGGACATTAGTATTATTTGAACATGCCCCTGATAAAAGTAATATGTAAAATTGTGCATCACTGACATGGTGATTGGCAATTCACATGGTTCAACCTAATAGATTATCCCATTTTTCTTTTCAAAGTCACTATGTTTCATAATATAGTGATATAAGAATTATTATATTTGTTTCAAAATTAGGAAAACAAGGTTTATAGACACAATGATTTAACAGCATTAGTTCATGTGATTAGAAAGTAATAGTGCCTAGTTTGAAAAATGTTGATATCATTAATAAAGATGCATTATCTTCAGCAGGCTAGAGTTCTTAAAGCAGAAATTCAACAATCATGGGAGAGTGTTCAACAAAGTTACAGTTACAAAGCTGGAAACAACAACAAGAAAAAGCTCTTCATTTGTTTGCAACATTACACCTAACAAAAATAAATAAATAATAGTAACAGCCACAAATATTATTTAATCAAAATACTATGATTAGTCAGGATTTTATTCTAAAAAAACTCAGTAAATTACATTTATTGATATTATTTCTAGCTTTGAGAATGTCTAAAGTTGATGTCAATAGATTTGATGAATAGCATGCATACTTGACAATGGTTTATTATACTGAATTCCTAAGGCTGTACACTGAATTTCTAAGCATAGCCATTGGAATTAAAATAAACCTTTCAATAAAACAATACAGAAGTTATTCTATTTTCTGTTAGATTTTTATCTAAAGTCAGATGATAGCTCACATTAAATTTCCATATAAACAACACATTATATTTTCAAGACATATAATTTGGATTCAGTCTTCCATGAAGAAAAGTTTTGTCCTACTGTGACTCTAAACAAATTGACTGTGAACTTGGGGCTTGTTATATAAACACTGGAAATTTTCCAAAATACTCACAGAAGTGCACCATAAAGGGAGTAATGAAATCAAGACGTTTACCTCATGGGAATCTTTGAATGGGTTGCTGTTTGGGACATAGTCTAATTTTAGCTCTTTATAATTTATACACTTATGGTTGAAGTTACAAACCATATGGTGATAAAGGGAATTAGCCATATATTAAGGAACCAGCCAAAATACTTTGCTTATGTTAAGCCAACAAAATTCTCTTGCACAAAATATGCAGTCATAAAACAGCTCATCAAATGATACTTGATTTTGATTTTGGTATTATTGTTCATTTGCTTAATTCATATTAAAATTAATTTAAGTTTTGTAGAGGGAAAAAAAAGCAAATCATAACAAACCAAAGATATAACATGAAGTTTCAAGTCTTTGAACTAGTCAATTTTGCAGCAGTTGGCAAATATTAATTTTTAAAAAATGTGAATTTGTGTAAGGATAACATTGCTATCATCAATGGAGATTTAAATTCGAAAACATCTTGAAAAAGGTTTATATTTTGAGACATAATACTGATTGTTCAAAAAT